CCCCAAAACCCCAAAACCCCAAAACCCCGTCACAAAGAAATCTAAATTCTAAGAAAAATAATGATATTCAATGATTTATATAAGAATTATAGATTATATTATAAATTTCAATAGGAAATCAAATTAAGACTTACCATCACAATCAATACTTTATCAATTTTCATCACTTCTAATCAATCCTTAATACTCTATATGTAAGCATTTTTAACTTATCTGAGTTTTCTAGTTATCCATGAAAATAAACAGTCAATTTAGTCCATCTAAGACAGGTCTTCAGAGAAGACAAACCTTTGGTACCCCTAATTCAATTTCGGCTTTGGCAACTTCCAAAGCCAATCCAAGATCCTCAGTCCAGTTGCAATTGATTCCAGATTTTGAACCTCAGCAGCACCAGTAGCCCTTTCATAAAGCAAACTCCTCTCTCTCTGAGCCAAACTTTATCATTACTAGCAACACTGCAATGACTACCCCAGCCTTCAACAAGCAATCTTATTCTATAGTGAGCAGCTCTTAAAATCATAATCCCAATAAAAATCATCAAATAAATAGCAATAATTCTAAGCAAGATTCCAAGAATTAAGGGGGTGGTGTAAATGGTGCTAGCACTATCAAAACTCAAAGTCAGTATGATTTTGATGAATTAAAGCTTATCTACTCTAATTCAGTGATTTCCCCTAAGGATAGCAATGGAAAAGGTCCTTCCTCAAACAAGTATGCCGCAAAAAAGGTATCCATTGAAGAATTGACAGCTAAGTACAATAATCAATCAATTGACCAGGTTGCGCAGAAATATCATGTCTAGCCAGGAGTAAACTCAACTTATGGGTCAAGTTTATACTCAAAAGCAGCTACTACGGTAAACTCACACAAAGAGACACCCAAGAAAAGTAGCTAGAAGACATAGAATCAGGTTAATAATAGAAAATCTACAAATCTTGAGAGCAATAAGATCGCATAAATGAATAGCTAAATGTTTACACCTGATGTCTTTAAGAGAAAGGTTTCTCATCAAAGCAATCCCCCAAAAGATCTTACCAGCAGTTACTCCACTAATTAATCTATTAAAAAGAACAAAGTCAATTTTGACTTAGAGCAGATTAACTAGAATGGGACTGGTTTCTCATCTACTAATGACAAAAAAGCCATTAATAAGACTTCTACACCAAGTAATAAAACTAATGACACTTTCTAAACTATCATTACTACATCTAATAAATCCTAAACTGAGCATAGACTTTCGAATTAGCTATTCAAAGATATTTAGTAGCAATATCAATTCAGATAACAGAGAAAGCTAGAGGAGATACACAGCATGATTGAAGAGAAAAGCAAGCAGATTCACAAGGATGAGTTTCAGGCTAGAGATCAAGAAGCTAAGCAGTCCTTGGAAAACATGAAGGAATTCAGAAAATGCTGCAAGACTTGCAAAGACTAAGACAATGACAAAAATCATCACATACATTCTCACAGCCATTAGTTTTAACAGCAGAATCTCAACAATTCCAATGTTCTGAGCCAGGCAAATCTCCTTAACAACAGCTAGATCAATGATAACACAGCTAGTAAGGTCTTTGAGAAATATCTTTAATCATCTAATGAAGAGATCCAGAACATAATTAGAAAGAAGTCTGAAGCGTGCCTGTCTTCTTCTACTGTCCCAACTTCAAATATCAATCTAGCCAGCAAAAGTAGACAAGCTAATTGCAAATGCTCAGAAGATGTGGCGAACCTCAAGCTACTGCTAGTTTAAGAGCAGAAAACTAGAGAGTTCTGCTAGAGATAGCTGAAAGATATTTAGGATGAGTTCTTAAACACTAATAGCAGCAATTAGCTTGAGGAATACATGCTGTAGCTAAAAGATATGCAAAGTAAACTTAATGATAAAAACATGAAGATACAATAACTGAGTGGGAAACTAAAGAGACTCACTGGTCTCTATGATAACTTTAAGTATATTGCATCACTCAATCAGGAATATTTTGCCTTAGAGTTAGGCGAAGGAGAGAAAGCTTATAGTGAATAATAGAAGATTGACTTTGAAAAATTTTACATGGACATCTCAAAGTATAATCTTTAGACCAGAGATATGGGTGTCTAGTGCAATTTTATGATGTCTGCCAACCCGAATTCTACACTATAGGATCAAGATCCTTATTTTTTGAGAACCTTCAAAGAAACTTTAGACCTTGAAAGAGAGTTCTAGACATTATAGAATGAAAACTAACTGCTGAAGTAAAAACTCTATGCTAAAACTCTTGATTTAAAGCCAGTTGATCACAAAATTCAAGAATTGAGAAAATCTTTAACTCTTGATCTAGATAATTAGGTTAAAAGATAATAAGCAATAATAGTAGAGAAGTTTGCTGATTTTACCTTCTAACTGTCCAACATAGGGGTGAGTGACATATACAGTCAATTGAGAGGACTGTTATCCTGCCTATTCTAGTATCATAGAGTTCTGGATTAACTCGAGGAAAAAGAGGCAAGAAGTTGGATCTGGAGAGTATACTAGCAATTGGTTGAGGCTAGTGGTATTAAAAATGCTCTAAAATCCTCTCACAATGCCATTTCACGAACTCAGAGATCTATTAATGAGGGTAATCTAAGTAAGAGTGTTTAAGAGTTTGCTACCCTATTTAACAATAATAACTCATCAACTATAAGCACCATTTAGAAAAGTTTTGGCAAGGATCAGAAATTGGAAAAGTAAAATACTAACCAGACAGACTAGCAAATTGGAGCTGAAGAGCATAAACTCAAAGTCTCAGGGAATGAAGATATGCTTCTTTAAATGCTTAATATACAAGCTCATCATGTTGAGCAATTAATGCTAAACACAACTTTTGGAGGAGGACTAGACCTGCTATCCTCTTCATTCTTATGAAAGAACAGAAGGACATTGTGCAATATTGAATGTTTTACTTTGACAATCAATTTGCATCTACTGAAATGCACCTCGATTTTATTCTATAACTAACTCAAACCAAGATATAATAAAATAAGTTACTAATATATCTCCCTAACTTCCTACCTAATTTATCAAAAATCAAATTCTAACCTGATGGGGTTTTGGGGTTTTGGGGTTTTGGGGTTTTGGGGTTTTGGGG